ATTTCTTGCTCTCCTTATTAAATTCCTCAACACATGCATACAATTCTGGCAGCTGTGGGGGAAAAAGTGGGAAGTCATGAGACTGATGAAAATGTAAGAGTCCAGCAGACCCACCCACCCTAAAACAACCAGGATAACAAATAACCACGAGGACAGAGGCATTTATCTTCGGAAGATATCTTTGCCTAACTAAACCAAGTCAATTGTAGTGATGTGGAATACAGAAGGACAAAGGTCAGATTCAGTTCCCCAAAGATGTATTATTTAGACACGTCCCTTAAACTTTTTGGTACACAATGAGCCTGTTAGACTTGGATGCAAAGATCTTTCCAACTCTAACATTCTGAGTGACCATGGAGAGAGACAGCTGGTGGGGGGCGGGGGGGTGGTCTTTGCTTGTTCTGAATAATGCTACATTTATTTTAAGGAAGAAAGGGAGCCAGATCATTTAGATATGAAAGCTTCATCCTTTAGACATGGGTTTCTAAAGAGCCCAGAATGTTCAGGAGTGCAAAGGAGTCTGGAACAGTTGTTGTTCACTGGATATTTACCAAAGCAAATGGCTACATTCATGAGGAACTTGGCAGTAGCTATTGGTGGGAAAAACAATAAACGATTCGTCAGAGTTCCCTTCCCCTTGTAAGCTCCTCTACTGAAGGAACAAATCTTATTTTTTAGAGCATCCTGTCTACAAACCCCATCATTCCTAAGAGGACCTTAGGCCTTAGCCGTAGTCTCAGGTTAGAGCCAAAATTTGAGTCATTAGCCCAATACAGATTTTCCTTTTAATTCTAGTTGATTCTATTGCAAGAGCGACAAACAGAAAGTGAGCTGAAGTTGGCCAGCGGCTCAGTTACCACTGTCGGGAACTCTCAGGCCTCAGGCTCACCTGCCCTTGGAAGAGCTACACTTTGCTATAAAGAAAAAAATTAAGCCACTGAAGTGGAACTCTGTTGTTCCTTATGACTCTCAGATATGTCACCACGTATTCAATAGTTTGGACTCTTAGGACGCCTGAATGTAGTTTCCTGCGTGTGACACTGTGGGGCTGCAGGTACATACTGAACAGCCAGGAGGCGCTGCTGTCCTGCTGTCTCCAGGCGGATGCACGTCTCTAATGAGGAACATTGTGCTGGGATTTTATTCTCTAATTCCTGAAAAAGCAATGTAGGAAAAGATGAAAATCAAAGATCAAAAATCAGACAAAGGGCTGGTTATCTCAGCTGGTTAGAGCATGGTCTTATAACACTGAGGTCAAGGGTTCGGATCTCTGTACTGGCCAGCAGCAAAAGAAAAAACAAAAAAAGATCGGATAAAATTCAAAGGCAGGGGTAACACTTTTTTTTTTTTTTTTTTTTTT